GGAGATGCCCTAGGTGTCTGCTGAGTGCCGTGTGCAGTGGGCAAACCTCTGTGCCCTGGAGGGACACTTCCCTAGGTGCTCCCCAGTGGCCGTTCTTTGCTTCTCTGATTCTTAGAATTGAAGGTACTCCAAGGAAGGGGGTTCTCCCATGTAGCCCTCGAGGTCCCCCTAAACAGTTAAAACCACTTTTAGTCAATATGCAAAAACTTCCTCATGCTGTCCGTGAGCGTGTCTGATCCCTCTGAAGTTGATGCTTGTCCCTGTCTTCCAAAAGAGCAAATCGCACAGTTAGCAGCGCACCTGAGGAAGCCTTTAGCACCAGGCTCCATTGGGCGACCTGGTCCAGCCGGCCCCCCAGGGCCCCCAGGTCCTCCCGGCTCCATCGGCCACCCTGGTGCTCGAGGACCCCCTGGATATCGTGGTCCCACTGGGGAGCTGGGAGACCCTGGACCCAGAGGTGAGTAGTGGACTCACTGTCCCAGCTGCGTAAGGAAACCCAGACGGTATGAAAGCTGCCCCTCCACTCTGAGGCGTCCCCTCTGGAGGCCCAGGAGGACCCAAGGGCAGCCCAGGCCAGGCCCGCCTGGGCTGCCCTCACCCAGCCCAGAGCCTGGCGGGCACGTCCAGGCCCCCAGCAGCAGGGCTTATCTAGGAGTGCTGTGAGAACACAGAATGTCCAGCCGTTGGCCAGCAGGTGTGGGTCCTCCAGGGTGGCTCCTGGAGGCTGACCGTCACCCCTTCAGGGCCAGCACAGTTACTTCCTCACCAATCCTGCAGGAACTAGGACATTTTTTTTATTGTGATATTTTTCTCAAATACCATCTGAACCACATTTGGTGGGGAGGGGTGGACAGCAGTTTGAGGAGCGGATGCACAGCAGCCCCCCTATACCTGGAGGCACACAACTTAAGGTGGGCTGGTATAGATCCTTAACAGGAAGGTGTCTTGTAGCAAAAGGAGAGAATAAAAATTCAGGACTCTTCCACTTCAGGAATCATGAGAGTCAAAAAGTCCTAACTTGGGCAGGAGGCACAGGTCCTATGTGGGCAGTGGAGGCCGGGCCCAGCAGGGGCCGGGTGCCCTGAGGTGAACTGGGCACCAAGAGCACAGCCCTTTCCATTTTAGAATGCTCACGGGAAGCATCTAGCCTGTGGCCAGTCAGGGTCTGAAGCTCAGATTCCAGCAGCTGACCAGCCACCTCTACTTCTCAGAAACAGCTCAGGACGTTCCAAAGGGAGATTTGTTTTGAGGTCCTTCCTCACATCTGAGATGCATCGTAAATGCTTTAGCAAGTGGAAGATCCTCCAGTCAGCAGTGAAGTTTCACTTGTTAGGATCCCTAGAGACTGAGGAAGCTCTACACAGAGGGCCAACATGTCAATTCACCTGTCCACATGCTGCTGCTGGCCCAGACACTGTCCTTGGACACCTTAGCTCATGACTTTCTCATGCTTTCTGTGCTGTCTAGTGCCACACAAGAAACTGCACGCTTTAAAAACAGACCAGATAAGATTTTCTCCAAGCAGAGACCTAAATTTCTTCTAGAGTTTTGGGAAAATAAAATTCAAACACCACATAATCACCTTTACAGAGTCTGAGAAAAGCAGTTTGCAGTGTTCTTAAAGTAAAGGCCACGGCAGAGATGCAGGCATCACAGGACGGCCCTGGGACGGGGCCAGCCCTGTTTCTGTCTGAAGGAGGGCGAACCCTGCAGAGTGTGCTTCTGCACCTTGCACTGGGCGTCTCTGTCTCCACTGGCAGAGCAGACCTGGGGCTGTCCAGAGGTCACTGTGCAGTTCACAACATGCACTCAGGACTGGGCCTTGGCTGTGCCTCCATCTGCCCTCCCAGCAAGCAGGGTGCGGGGTGGGAGCACCCCACCAGGACACAGCAGGCAGACAGCTTCCTGGAGCATCCAGGCCACTGGAGCCACTGCCTGCCAGGGAGGCCAGTCTGCAACTCTAGGGCCACGGAGCCGTCCCCCACCGGATGGCAGTGATGGCTCAGGACCAACTGCCAGTCCTGCCTGTGCTTCTCTTTTTTTGGGGAGGTGGGTACCAGGGATTGAACTCAGGGGCACATGACCACTGGGCCACATCCCAGCCCTATTTTATATTTTATTTAGAGACAGGGTCTCCCTGAGTTGCTTAGCGCCTCGATTTTGCTGAGGCTGGCTTTGAACTCGAGACTCCTGCCTCAGCCTCCCGAGCTGCTGGGATTACAGGCTGCGCCATGGCTCCCGGCCTGCCTGGGCTTCTCATCCAGCACTGAGCTGCATCCACAGATCACAGCTGAACAGAGGCAGTGTTGACACCGTCGGCACAGGGACACACCTACACAGGAAACCCTCTGCCTCACGGCGCTGCAGCACTGACCCAGGTTCAGTCTGCAGGGCAGACTCCTGGGGTCACTGTGCCCTCAACATCCAGATCCCACGAGGCCAGTGTTGACACACCTCTGTCATTTTAGATCACTCTTAGGTCACTTATAGTTCAAAGGTCATACAGAAATCACGATTGCCAAACCAACACACAACTGCTGAAACAGAACCAGGCTGCCATCAGAGTGGCTGCCAGAGGTCAGGAGGCTCCTGCTGCCTGCAGTCTAGGTGGGGACACCTGCCCTTCCCTGAAGGGCTCTGCTGCAGTAAAAAGCTTGTAAAAGGTGGCCCCCTGTTTGTGATGAGGTGGGGTCAGCACTGTCACCGTGTGGTTGTGGCAGCAGTTCTAACCATGCACCTATGTCCTCCCTCCTCGCAGGAAGCCAGGGTGACAGAGGAGACAAGGGTGCAGCAGGTGCAGGGCTGGACGGGCCTGCCGGAGACCAGGGGCTCCAAGGTAGGAGGCCACTGTCATTCACGGGGTTTACATGGGGGAATACTGGGGTTATGAACATGTCTCATTTTCTTAAAAGGAAATGTTGTGGGTTTTCTTTTTTTTTTTTTTAATTATTTTTTAGTTGTAGTTGAATACAATGCCTTTGTTTATTTATTTATTTTTAAGCGGTGCTGAGGATCGAACCCAGGGCCTTGTGCACTCTAGGCGAGTGCTCTACCGCTGAGCCACAACCCCAGTCCCGGGTTTTTTTTTTTAATCTGGAATTGAAGCTAGGGGTGCTTGACCACCAAACCACATCCCCAGCCCTTTTTTATATTTTATTAGAGGCAGAGTCTCATCAGGGTCTCGCTAAGTTGCCTTAGGGCCTAACTAAGCTGCTGAGGCTGGCTTTGAACTCAAGATCCTCCTGCCTCAGCCTCCCAAGCCACAGGTATCACAGGCTTGGCCACCGTGCCTGGCTTGGCAAGGCATTCTTAGAGGCAAGATTAGGAACTCTCTGAATAACCACTTTAGCATCAGCTGGGGGCTTGTGACCCCCTACATGGGAGGGAGGAAGGGAATGGCCAGCTGAGGGCAACCTCAGCAACTTAGCAAGAACCTGGGTCAAAGTGAGAAAATAAAAGGGCTGGGAATATAGCTCAGTGGTAAAATGCCCCTGGGTTCAGTCGCTAGTACTGGGGGGAAGAGCACTTCACTATGCACAAGTCCAATCAATCATCACATCTTCCTTATCTGCTTCTGCTAAGTAGGTCTGCTTAAATCCTGTCTAACGAAAGCTATTTAGTATCTATTTTGGTCAAACAGAATTTTCTCCTAATTGACCCACATGTACATTGAATGTGTCCATTTTAATGTTGAAAGTGGACGCTCTGATGAGGGAGGCAGTGGTGCTGTCCTCAGCCACAACGAGCCCCCATGTCCTGAGCCCCTCGCAGCCTCCTACTGTGGGCATGACAAGCCCTGCAGGGCCGCTAGAGCTGGACACCAGGCTTCTGCACACCTCAGGGGGCAGAGCAGCCGCCACACCCCTCCTCCTCGCACACCCTTCGTCCCTGCACCAGTGTGGCCTTAAGTGTCACACACGTGGCCCAGTGGACAGCACCTGCAGGTGGCTGTCGGGCACCCCCTGCCCCCCAGGCCACCCCAGGCTGCCGTAGCCCCTTCCCTGCCACACCTGCTTCCTCGCTCGCTCACTCGCTCGCCTGTCCCAGTCCACTCTTCACCCTCAGGGTCACCCAGACTCTGCCACCTGGCTGACTGTGCCCCTCCCACCCACCTGGAGCCCTGCCAGCCTCTTGGCCAGCTGTCCTCCCCTGGGGATGTTGCCCAGTTGGGAGATAACCAGTGCAAAAAGGCGGGTTGGTGTGGCCAGCAAATGTGAACTACTGCCTCTCCTCAGGCCCTGTGGCCTCTAATTCCGGCCTCCTTGTCTCCAGGGCCACAGGGTGTGCCTGGCATCAGCAAAGACGGCCGAGATGGTGCTCATGGCGAGCCTGGGCTTCCTGGTGATCCAGGCCTTCCTGGCGCAGTCGGGGCTCAGGGGACTCCAGGGATCTGTGACACCTCAGCCTGTCAAGGAGCCGTGCTGGGAGGGGGCGGAGAAAAGTCAGGTGCCCGGAGCTCGTGAAGGAGAACTTGAGGAAACCAGAAGCGTCGGTGGCAATTTGAGCAAGAGGCTCTGACAGGGTCACGGCCTGGCACCACTGGCCTGTCAGCCAGGAGGCCTCGGAGGCTGGCACATGGCCACGGCCTGTCTCTGCAGTATTTACAGGGGTCGTCCACCTGCGACAGCATACCTCAGACACACGCCCTCTGGGAGGACACAAAGCCCACACCTGGAGGGACTTGGGGTTCTGTGTACAGACCTGCCTACGACCCACAAGCTAGAAGACACTCGGCAACTTGTTTACATCACACCCACGTAAAGACCCCGACACGACCCCAATAAAATGATGTATTCAGTCTTCAGATCAGTGACAGATTACGGTATAACAAAACCAGATAATTCCATGTACTGTGTCCCTCTACACAGTCCATCCGCTTTACCTGCTTTCTTTGTACAAACTCGCGACTCCAACTGACAGTATTTATTGAAGGTGCCTGTGCCTGGGCTAAGGCCTATGGGATCACCTGTCGTAATAAATAAAGCCACGCACTGGAAAACTCCGCTCCAAACATGCAGTTTATTACAAGCAAAGTAATGACTGGCAATATGAAAATGTGGGCATTTAAGCAATCTACCGAGAAAATGTTTTATTTTTTATGGAAAAAAAGTAGCTTTAAAGAAAGTCTCTGGAAATTTTTTGGCAAAAGTTTTAAAATAGTACTGTATTTTGCAATACAGAGTACATGAGACTGGAAATAATTACAAGGGGGAATGATATAACAAATGAAATAAAATTTCCAAACTAGAGTTAAGAACAATTTACCTTCTTCCAATTGCTAAGGGGGCATTTTTAAAATGTAAATAAAATAAGTAAAAAGCAATGTACCTTTTAAGACTAAAGAAATTAGAAAGGATGTTAATTTTTCAAGTTATCATGTTAAAAAAACATGATGGAATCAGACAGATAATTGAAAAATGACTTACTCATTATCAAGATGTCTTCATCCCCAAAAGGTCTAAGAGGACATTAATGGAGAAGTATTTTGTTCTAGATAAATACTTTTACAAAATGTGCTCCCAAAGTCCCTACTGGAGTCCCATCAACTTGAGCCAGGTCCTTCTCATGTCAGGTGACCAGGGTGGAGCTCCAGGGTGGTGGAACAGGTGCGTGCATTGCAGGAATGGCTGTTTACTCCCAGGGTCCCTGTTCAGTCCGTCACTTGATCTCCATCGCAGGGCTGCTCTGCAGACTGCCCTGTGCAGGACAGGCCACCAAGGAGTCCGGTCTGGTCAGCTTTAGCCTTCTGCCAGTTTTACCGCAAAACACACTCTCAAATTCCTAAAGTCGAGAAGTGATCATTAATGTACTGAATTCTTAAGATGTGAAACAGTGCTATCTTCAAAGGCACAAAAGGTCCCTAAAAGGAGCTATGTAAACTACTTCAAAATACATGGCTTTCAGATGTCACCATTTAAGGGGTGCCTGTGATAGAAACAGGGGTTCACTTTCCCCAATAGTAGTCACCCTGTACGTGTATTCTCATTTAGCTTTTCGAAATCAGTTCTCAACATGTCTGACCAAATCGTAAAAGCAGCCATGTTTTATTGTGATAAAAGTCACATTAACATACAACGTACTACTTTAACCATCTTGAAGTGTATGGGAAGTGGCATCTACACTGTTCAACAAAGGCAGGCCCTGCCCTCCCACACACTGGTGAGCATCCTGTGGCCAGGTAGGTGTTAGGTGTGGTCACTGAGATGGCTCTGTACGAGGTATGATGAGGAGCTGTTCCCTGCAAGGGCAGCAGTGGTCCCTGCTCCTGACACCCTGCTGCTCTCCACTCTTCAAAAGGCCCCAATTCTAATGGTCCACCTGGGCACAAGGGCACTCTTAGCCTCACAAAACAGAGCCCTGGGACAGTGCCACAGGCCTCCCACCTGGACTCCACCGAGCCCATCCTTGCCACAGTTTACAAGAAATATAGGCAACAAAGGATGTTAGTCACCACCATGAATACGCAAAATACAGAATGTGCAGAAATTTACAGAGAACAGGACAAATTATCACCTCTTCAATAAATAAATGGCAAGAAAAAGAGAAAGGGCTTGGAAACTATTTTAGATTAAAATATATTTAAGTGCTGTCAAGCAAATGAATATTTGGATCCCAATTCAAATAAACCAGCTGTAAAGACATCTGTGAGCTGACAGGAGGACCTGGGCAGAAACAGTGTCAGAATGGCTGTACTCCACAGTGATTTTGACATGGTGGTTACATTTTAAACAGCTCTTTGCTTCTTGGAGAGTCTGTGAGACAGATGTCGGGAATTGCTTTAAAATGACCGAGAGGACTTGAGAATGGGTGAACAAAGTCATGCTGGGAACAGAGTTCCAGGGACTGGGGGTTTATTATTCTATTCTCTCCATTTTTGTGCATATTTGGATTTTTTTTAATATTTATTTTTTAGTTTTAGGTGGACACAATATCTTTATTTTACATTTGTGTGGTGCTGAGGATCAAACCTAGTGCCTTGTGCATGCTAGGCAAGCGCTCCACCACTGAGCCAGCCCCCATATTTGGATTTTTAAAATTTTTTTTTATTTTTATTTTTTTTGGTGGTGCTGGGATTGAACTCAGGGCCTTGCAAATGCTAGGCAGGCACTCTACCAACTGAGCTATGTCTGCAACCCCATACTTGGAAATTTGCATTTTATTTTCTTAAAGCATAGCACTCTGTTCAAGTGTAGGTTGATTTTATTTGTTCTTTTTAGATATACATGACAGTAGAGTGTATTTTGAAATATCATACATACATAGAGTATAACTTGGCTTCAATTACAATGGACTTTTTTTTTAGTTGTAGTTGGACACAATCCCTTTATTTTATTTATTTTATGTGGTGCTGAGGATCGAACCCAGGGCCTCGCACGGGCTAGACGAGTACTCTGTCATTGAGCCACAACCCAGCCCCAAGATGGTCATATTTTTTACTGTGGTAAAATATACAGAGTTTCCATTGTGACTATGTGAAGTGTTCTGTGGCGTCAAGGGCATTCACCTCATTTTGCAGGGATCACCACTGGCTTTTTCCATCATTCCAGACAGAATCTATCCTAACTAAACACTAACCTCCACCCCCTGGCACCCACAGTCTGCTTCCCACCTCTTCATGGCTCCTGTCCCCAGAGAGCGGCACTCTTTGGACAGAGGGCACTGTGTTGTAGCAGGTGTCAGACTTCACTCCTAATGGCTGGCCAGGCTTGGGTGTACACAGAACACTTCATTCACCATCACCTGCTGATGGCACTCAGACTGCTCCACGTGAGGCCTCTGGGAGAAGTCCGCTGTGGAAGTTCACAGACAGCTGTCAGTTTGGATTCCATTTCCAATTCTTTCCAGTTTCTACTTGGCAATTTGGGGAGCATATGGTATTCTGTTCAACTTTTTGAGAGGCCACCATACTTTTTTTCCACAGTGGCTGCACCGTTTTACATTGCCCCCAACAAGGCACAGGGTTCCAATTTCTCCATGTTTTTGCCGCCACTTGTTACTTTCTGCTTATTGATAATAGCCAACCAGATGAAGCTCCTCTCTGATTCTGATGTGCAGTTGTCTAATGGCGGAGCAGAATTACTGGCATCCACATGAGAATCTATGGAGAAAGGTGTACTCAAGCCTTTTTAAAATTGTGTCTCTTTTTGCTTAATTATAGTAGTTTATATTTAACTCAAGGCCAGGAGGAGAAACAGCATAGGTGCCCCGCTGCCACCAGTTTAGCTTCAGGATCATCTGCAGTAGTTCTAACACTCCACCTAATCATACTCCAAGTGACATTTGACCAAAGCAATCTGTCATTTGCAACTATCACCTACACTCAGAGGCATATTTGCATATAAATACTCTAATTTTCTCCCAAAACTTCAAGAGCCTTTACAATGCAATTTAAGATGAACCACAAGTTTTATTTTTAATTTTTGTGGTGCTGGGGATTGAAACCAGGGCCTGTGCATGTAAGGCAAGCACTCTACCAACTGAGCTATATCCCCAGCCCTAAAAGTTTATTTTTATGAACATGCACTAGTTGTACATATTAATGGAGTTCAGTGTGATATTTAAAGACATGATTTCAGTGTGCACTGATCAAGTCCAGCCTCCCTCTGCCCCCCCACCCACCTCCCAATCTCTGGTAATTCCACTTTCAGGTCAAAATTGTTTAGTTTCTATATAGAGAACCTGTAGTACTTGCCTTTCGGAGTCTGGGTATTTACTTAACAACCTCCACTTCCATCCATTTTGCTATAAATGACAGGTGTTCATTCTTTTTTATGACTAAATAATACTTCACAGTGTATATAGACCACATTCTCTTTATTCATGCATGCTGATGGGCACCCAGGCTGATTCCAACTCAGCTATGGTGAACAGTGACACAATAAACATGGGTGTAAAGGTATCTCCTCGATATGCTAATTTCATTTCTTTTGAATATATACCCAGAAGTGGGACAGCGGGATCATATGGTAGATCTTTTTCAAGTTGTTTTCTGAGAGGTTGTAGACTGCGGATTAAATCCAGGGACATTCTACCACTGAATTGCATACCCAGCCTTTTTTTTTTTTTTTGAGATGGTCTCACTAAGTTGCTGAAGCTGGTCTTGAACTTGGGATCCCCCGTCTCAGCCTTCTCAACTCACTGATCACATGCATGTGCCACCATGCCCAGCTTATTAGATTTTTTAGGAACCTCCATGCTATTATCCATAGTGGTTGTAACTAATTTACATTTCCACCAACAGCATATGAAAGTTCTTTTTTCTGCACATCTTGACAGTATTTGTTATTTTTTAATAATAGCCATTCTAACTAAGGTGGGAAAGTATCTTATTACCGTTTTGATTTGCATTTCCCTGATAGCTCGTGACATGGAGCATTTTTTCATATATTTCTTGGCCATTTGTATTTCTTCTTTTGAAAAGAAGAAATCTGCCCATTTTTCAGTTGAATCACTTTCTGTTAAGTTTCTTGAGTCCCTTGCATATTCTGCTATTAACCCTGTCGGATGAAGAGCTGGACATATTCCATCCTGTGGGCTGCCTCTTTACCTCTTGACTGTTTCCTTGGCTGTCAGAAGCTTTTTAGTTTGCTGTCATCCCATCTGTGTCAATTTTTGCTTTGTTTCCTGTACTCTTGGGGTCCTATCCAGAATGTCACTGCCTGTGCAGCTGACTTAAAGTATTTCCTGTTTTCTAATAATTGCAGAGTTTTGAATCTTTGTCTTTGATCCATTTTGAGTGGCTTTTTGTACAGGATGAGAGATGTGGGCCAAGTCTGATCTCCTCCGTGTGGTGGCCAGTGTCCCCAGCACTGTTTGTTGAGGAGGATGTCCTTGCTCCAATGCATAACTTTGGCACTGTTGAGATTCAGCTGGCTGCACATGGGTGGGTTCTCTTCTGGGTTCTGCTATGCTCCACTGGTCCATGAGTTTGTTTTTATGCCAGTACCATGTGACTTTGCTTACTGTGGCTCTGCAGCGTCTTGAAACCAGGCATTGGGATGCCTCCAATCAACCACATTTTCTGTAAGCCTGCATCTAAAGCGAAATACAAACTGTTTTGCCTATATTTGGCCAGGTAGAATTTACCTTTTAAAATAATTACATGAGTCAAAAAGAAAGAAATACTGATTTCTCCCATAAGAAAGTACTTTGAGAGATTTTCTTAGCCATTTTCTCCCAGTGATGAGGCCTACATCCTGGAGTGGGCAGGGTGGTTATGCTGTACTTCAGCTGGGCTCTGGAAGGCCCCTGGGACCAGCAGGCCCGGATCCAGGTGTGAAGGAGTAAAACGAGCAGCATGCTCCAGTTTGTAAGTTGTGGATTACCGGCACAATCAGCATCTATTCAGCTGAGTTTTAAAGGATTTTTATAATTTATCAAAATATTCTGAGATGATGTCTGACCAAAGTAAACATTCATATTAGATTTGCAACTATAATTCTGATGATAAAAACTATTCCTTAGAGGGGAAAAAAAAAAAAGATGGTTCTAAGTATATCTTGGAAAATATACCAGGAAGTTACTAAGAGAAAGAAAAGTGTGGAATCTGTGTCCAGAGCTAAAGGTAAAGGGTTAAAAGAAACACAGAAGGATACCTCAAAGTGAACAAAGAATCCACTCAGAGGAAGCAGGACAGCAGGACAGCAGGCACTTGTATGTACCTGATAACAGTTGAGTAAACATTCAGCAAATGCCCAGAGGACTCAGGGGCTTTGACAAATCCAATCAGGGGAAATGTCCACACTGGTCTCGGAAACAGGTCTGACAGAAGAGAATGACAGAAGAGGTGTGACTCTCGCTCATCTCAGCCTGAGCTGGCACAGTGGCACCCCTGCACTCTCAGCTACTCAGGAGGCTAAGGCAGGAAGACTGCTTGAGCTCAGGAGTTCAAGGTCAGCCTGGGAAACATGCAAAGGCTCTGTCTATAAGCACATAAATATGCCCAGTCTGATAAACATGTAGAATTCTATAGAGAGAATGCACACTGTCTAATAATTAATGGAACTGTCTTAAATTTATTACATTAAGAGGTCACACTGGAAGTCTCAACAAACTTTTAAAATTACTCTTTTATACAGAGCCACTTTACTGAGCACAATATGATAAATAAATGTGAGAAACAGGTAAGACAGAAACAGCTGGGCACAGTGGCACGTCTGCAATCCCAGTGACTCAAGAAGAGCAGGCAGGAGAATCCCAAGCTCCAAACCAGCCCAGATGATGTACGGAGACCCTGTCTCAAAATGAAAAGGCTTGGGATGTAGCTCAGTGGGAGAGAGTCTCCCCACCATGTAGGAGGCCCTGGGATTAATCCCTGGTACCTGGGAGGAAAAAAAAGATCCCACATATGTGGAAAATTAGAAATCTACTTCCAGAGAATTCATACACTGAAGAGGTAAACAAAAATTACTCCAGAGACTGTGTGTGTATAGTCTCAAGTAATTTTATATATCTATAATTATATACAAATTACTCCAACCTATAGGATATTTTTGAAAGAGCACTGAGACAGAAATTTGCTTTAAATGCATTAATTAGAAAGCAAGATTGAAAACAAATGAAGCAAACTTTCAACTTGAGACATCAAAAAAAAAAAAAAAGGGAAATCAGACATAAGGCTTTTAAATAATAAAAAGCAAATTATCACAGGAAAAAACACCACTCCTAATGCCACACAAAGGGTCAATAGAGTGAAGGAACAAGACCCGAACTGGCTCTGCAGGCAGGAAGGCCCAGAGCCCAGCCACAGCAAGCATGCAGAACAGGCGCAGACCAAGGGGCTCGGAAGGCAAAGGCACGGCAGGCTCACTCAGGAGGACGCAGAGCACAGTGGCACTTTTCCCAAGATGCTTGATTTTTACAACGGGTCACAACACAGCTTTGACTCATTTTGCCATGCAGAAGCTGGGGTGTGTGTGTGGCAGCTGAGGACTCTCCTTGTAGCATGTCCAAAAAGCATATTCAAATCCGCATGATATAGGCATTCAAGTGCTAGCTCCCAGACGAGCCAGGCAAGTGTGACCCCATCTTCTGGCTTCCATGTTGCTGCATGTGCCAACCCTGCTCCTACAAAGACATTTCAAAACTTGCAGTAGTTAAGTCACGCAGTATCCAAATCACTAAACTTGAGTGTGGCCCACAGCCAACAGCCACAGGAATGGCCCTGACAGCAGCATCAGCTGAAGCAAGAGCTGTCGGCCACTTGATCTGCCTTCCTGAGCACAGATGTGTGCTGCTGGCCTGCTCCTCCACTTGGGGGAGTTGTGGCTCTGGATTTGCTCCATGGGCTCCAGATCGGCCCCTGGACTTCCTGGAAGGCAGCAGCAGCTGTGTGGGTGCCGCCTTCCCCTGGCATCTAGCTCAGGGGTAGTTCACAGCAACCCCATGACCTGGGGGCGGCACACGCTGGTTGAGTATTAATTATCTGGTTTGGGTCTCTTGCAGAAGGGGCTTTATGTGGGCAAGATCATAAAGGATGTACTTAAATGATACACATACTCCACTGTTCACATAATTAAAGGTCTGTCCACGAGGATGGCACCTAGGAGGGTGCAAAGTGAGAGGAGTTTCAGCTGACCAGGGGCTCGACAAGCAGTGCTGTCAGGTGGACACTGTTAGCAGCACACAGACCCTCAGGAGGCTCTGCAAGGTGAGATGGTGTCAGCAGGACCAGGCACAGGTCTCTGCAAGGAGGGTCTCCTCATTCTGTGCCCACCAAGACAGCAACCCATCCCGTGGCCCGGGAGTGAAAGGCCAGGATCCTGACTGGAGAATCTGCAGCAGGGCCTCTGGGCTTGCAGAGACATGGGCCATGTAGTAGGGGAGGCAGCCCACTGACCACAGAGACCAATGGGTGCTGCACACTGACAGGGAGACTCTCCGCTCCCTTGGCTGCTCTAGTCCTGGGCCCCAGGCAAGCCAAGGGCACCCCATCAATGAGAAGTCAGGGAGAAGAGAAGGCAGGCCCAGAGAGGAAGCCAACACCCACTTCTAAACCAATGTCTTAGAAGTGGGTGCTGAAAGCAAAGGGGTGTCTGTGAGGCCAGCCATGGGCCCAACTCTGGCTGAACAGCATAGGGAACAGCCGTCAGGCTGCTGGGAGTAGGCCTGGGGATAGGGAGAGGGTACAGACTGTACCTTTGAGGTGGCAACAAAGGAAGGCAAAGAAACAGGCAAGTGCTGACAGGGGACAATGGGAGAAGCAGAAGCCATCTACAGGGGAAGAGGGAGGAAGGGAAGTGGCAGCCCCAGGTGGCCAGAGGGAGAAAGCAGGTAGGGTGGGGCCTCGGTGACAAAGGGAGGTGGAGAGGAAGCAGAGCTGCTGTGGAAACAGGAAGAAAGAGGGCTGAGGGGAGAGGGGCCATGGCCTCTGCCAGGAATCTAGAACCGCCTTTCACCACCACTTCACCAGCCGAGGACTCTGACTGGGGAAAAGCCATGAGGATTCTGGTGGGACCGGGTACCAGTGCTCGCTGGTGTTAAACCTTCTGACTGTGACCACAGTGTTCTGGCTACATAAGGTGACACCCCTCTTCTGGAAAGGCACACAGCGAAGTGTGGGGTGTGGGAGGCGTGGTGTCTTGACTCACCATCCAACCATTCAGAAAGCCACAGAGACTGGAGAGAGAACATGGGGCGCAGGGCGACTGGGGGCTCAGGGAGACCTGGGCAGGTACATGTGGGGCTCTTTGTACTGTTCTTGGGATTTTCCTGTACATTTGAAATTACACCATAACTAAAGATTACCATAAGTGGTACAAATCCAGAAGGTGGGGCGCTACAGATAACTGGCCTGATGTCTTCAAAACCTCAATGCCGTGATAGACAACCGTGGGTGCAGTGGAACTGCTGTAGCTTACAGACTGAAAAACACAATCAAATGCAACATATAATCCATGGCTGGATGCTGGACTGGGGGGAAAACACAGCTACAAAGGCGGTTTTAAGAATAGTTTGGAGGGCTATGGTTGTGGTTAGGTGGTAGAGTGCTTGCCTAGCATGCCTGAGGACCTGGGTTCAATCCTCAGTACCACATAAAAATAAAGATATTATGTCCACCTAAAAACTAAAAAATAAATATTTTGAACAAAAAAAAAAGAGAATAGTTTGGAGCTGGGTGTAATGGCACAAAGCCTACAGTCCCAGTGACTTGGGAAGCTGAGGAAGGAGGACCACAAGTTCATCACCAGCCTCAGCAACTTTGTGAGACCCTGTCTCAAAATAAAAAGGGCTGGGGATGTTGCTCAGTGGCAGAGGGCCACTGGGTTCAATCCCGGGTATTAAAAAAGAAAACTATTTTGGGAAAATGTGAATAGGGACTGCATATCCAAGCAAATGAGCGATGCCATCAGCTCTGTGGGCTGATAAGGGCTCAGGTCATGGGGGTGGTGGGGGTGGTGGGGGTGGCTACCTTTGAGTTGTGTGTAGAAATATTTCAAGACGAAGGTTCGTGTTTGTAATTATCTCTGAATGGTGTGTGTGGAGTAAATACGTTTGTGTAACGGCTGCGATGAGGAGGTGGGCGGGGCGCACAGGCATTCGTCATGCTACATGAGCCCATCGAGCTAACGCAAAGGGAATCCCCATCTGTGCCCCAGACTCACTTAGCAACACCTCCTGGACACTCTACCTGGGGCCTTCCAGGCCAGACGCTGAGCCCACCCACACCATCTCATGGCTGCCCCCCACCACTGGATGAAGCCAGGCCAGGCATTCCTGACAGGCTTCCCAGGGCAGCACGAGCCCAGGCTGAGCCCACCTCTCCCCAGAGCACCTCGGTGGCCTCCTAGCAGTCTGTGCTCCTTCCCCCCCACCCCACCCCACCCCTTCTGGAGCACCAAGTGATGATTGTAAAATGTCATGTCCTTCCCAGACCTAAAGCCTTCCAGGGGCTCCTGAGACCTTGGAACACTCAGGCCCACCAGGCGCTGGCCTGCCTGCCTGCCACATGCTCAGGACCCCAATGTGGCTGTAGGCAACACTCTTAACCACAGTGTGTGACCCTGCCCAAAGACCCAGAGATCCACAGCTCCCTGGCTCGTGGCTTCCCGCTCCTCCTTGGCATCTGCATGCATACAGATGCCGTCGGTGACCACCCAATCTAAAGAAGCCCTCTGCCATTACACTGGCCCACAGTAGGGGTGGGCCACAGCAGGGCTCCCACCCTGGCAGGACCCAACACTGTCCACAGGTGCAAGTGTTGAAGTCCCCCTCCTTGCCAGTAGGTGGGTGCTGTTTTATGCAAGGCACCCCAGAATCTGGAGCAGGTACCTGGTTATAGTGGGAAAGACTCGTTGAGTGAAGTGTGTACTAAGATAACTTAGAAAACCCACTTAGAACTCTCGTTACTGCAACTGTAAGAACAAAAGTATGCATGCAGGTAAGAGGAACAGCTACCGTGGAAGTGAGTCAGTGCCTGAGCTAGGCTGGCCAGCAACCCAGACTGACCGCCTCCCGCCTGTTCTGGTGGCCTGATATGTGACCCAGAAGCAACCCACACATTCAATAGGACTCCACTACAGAAGTATCCAGAAAACATATTATACAAAATATAGTATCCATAAGTTCGCAATCTAGTCTTTGAGTATACAGTTAAAAAATGTTTTATTCCCAAAATTATAAACATATTCATTGTATTTGAATTATATCAATAAGTGACTACAAATAGGTACACAGAGGCAAACACTAAGTCATTTTAAAAAATATTAAAGCTTTATTATATTGAAACAAACCAACAGTCTACCACTAACAAATAATGTTAAAAAGCAACATTATCAATAACCATAAATGATCCAATTAGAATAAAATTGACATAATATTGCTTTAAAATGCAATTAAATGTATTGTCAAAGCAAGGGACTTACAAAATTAGCTAATTTGCATGGTGTAAATGTCACGTGGACACAGATCAGGACGGAAAAGAACAGGCCCTGCTGTGAGGCCCAGAGAGGTGGCCCAGCTCAGTGCAGCTTGGCCATGGGTGGGCACCCTTTCTGAGAAGGTTCCAGGTTTGCCGCACCCACCTTAGCCCCGCCTCCAAGCAGACTCCTGCTGGGTCAACAGCAGCAATTGCCCAACAGCTTGGGAAAGATAAAATCAGGATGCTGAGGGTTTATGTACTGCACTGCCTGGTCACTCCTGGGAGGACAGAGTCAGGTGCTGACCAACAGAATTCCGAGGCTAGCACCCCACATTGAGGTCCCCCAAGGCACAGCTCAAACCAACTATTGAGTGCCCCTTCTCCCTCTGCAGCCCAGGGGCTGACTGAACTCACTGAACTCACTCCAACCAGCATTCAGTTCCAGCAGAACCGAGCAGGCTCACCAGCCATCACAGCCTACAGCTGCACAGATGGGGCCCGGGCAGCCAGCAGCCCCCCAGGAAGCCAGGAGTGTAGGGCAAGTCCTGGTTCCCCTGGTCACCCTCTGCCCTATGGAAGTAACTGAGGCCCAAGCCACTTATGGGACACCCGTCTGCCTTTCTGCTCTGCTCTTGTGCTACTCTGCTTTCATCCCCTTCACCAGGCTTTCTGAGGGCAGAAATCACGCCCCATGAGCCCCTCAGACCACAGTGCAATGCACGGTGCGCAGCAGTGCTCACCCTGCTATCGGACAACGGGCACAGCATCCCACAGATGAATCTAGGCTGGATCATTACTTTAGTAAATGAAAAGTTACATCATTAACAAGCAGAGCTTCATTCATATTGGACTTGGTATGTGACAATAGATTCCAGGAAACAAAGGGCAGTTTGAGTTATCCTTGGAAAAAAAGGACAAATTGGAACACTGATAAGTAAACTTACAAAATTCTAAAAATCTACCTGGCCTACTTAAACACTAACCTTTTTAAGAGAGTCCCCATGTCTTTCCTGAATGTACTTCAGGAATGCCGTGGTCCACTGGAGAGTCGTTGCCTTATCCGTCTCCGCGTTGCAGAACGGAACTAAAAGATTCAGCTCATCACAGCAAATGCGGATTCTGCGCCTGCAGTCAAAACCCAGAGGAGTCAGCTGGCAAAGCAAGCAAGCAACGGGGAGTTCATCATCTTGCTGAAAGGAGCCAGAGCTCCTGGAGCTGGCCCCCGAGTACTGCAGAGGCACCCTATGCCCCGGAAGCCCCTGGACAGCCTGCACTACTGCGCTGCCATACTCCTGTCTAAGGCTGCTGCACCCATGACACCCTAGCGGAGTCCAGCCCAGCACAGTTTTCTGCTCACTTAATTATGATCAAGTCTTTGGAGGAGATAACATCCCTTTTGTAGGTGAGAAACTCCAGAGAAGAGATAAAGAACTTGTAGCAGTTTGATAAACTCCTAAGGTCCAAGTCTCTAGACCAGGGATGGCATCAAATTTCCTAACCCTGGAAGCAAAACTGTGCGCTTTCTCCAGGCAGATCACTCCTCTGGTCAGGACTATCACACCCTGCTGTCCGTGAGCCAAGAGACACCATGGGAACTTGGAGTGCCACACACCTTGAGGGGCCCTGACAAATGAATCAGACTGCCGCTGTCAGTCTCCTGAAACCTCAGCCTTTTTAGAGAGAATTTAAATCATAGCTTGAATCTTACTATTATATAGTTTTTAACCTTTATTTCTTACATCTAGCAAAGTCCTAAATGAGGTGACACTGGGCACTCAGCAATGTGCCAGTCACCAGGCACTGGAACACCTGTGCACTAGAATTGTACTAACGACTGCACCAGAGGAAAGAGCAGGCATGCACCAGGGGAAAGAGCAGGCATGCACCAGGGGAAAGAGCAGGCATGCACCAGGGGAAAGAGCAGGCATGCACCAGCCGTTCCCCGTCTTCCAGGCACAGGGCCAAGAACTCTTCAGCCATCTGCTCATTAAATTCTAATCTAGTCTATGCGGTAGATAACATTCCTTTTATAGGTGAGAAACTCCAGAGAAGAGATAAAGAACTTGCAGCAGGTTGGTAAATTTCCAAGTGCTGCAGTAAAAATTCACACTTTCAAACTGTCGCAGGTATTAGACAAATGTTCTTAAACAAATGTCCAGGCAGGCAGAGCGCAGAGGCCCTTCACAACCCACAGCAAGTTCAGGGAGGTCCCTCAGTGTGTGCACACATGTGCAAAGGAGGGATCAAGTCAGCTTTAGCACATCCCTTCAAGGAGCAATGGATTGAGCCAGCGCCGTGGCGCACACCTGTAATCCCAGCAGCTTGGGAAGCTGAGGCAGGAGGATCGCAAGTTCAAAGCCAGCCTCAGCAAAAGCAAGGTACTAAGCAATTCAGTGACAACCTGTCTCTAAACAAAATACAAAACAGAGTTGGGGATGTGGCTCAGTGATCAAGTGCCCCTAAATTCAATCCCTGGCACCTGCCCCACCCCGCCTCCTGCAAAAAAAAAAAAAAGCAGCAATCAACTGCCCTAGACTGACATTCAGGACCTCAGCTTTAAGGCTGATATCTGCCTCATTCAATGTTATTTATTTCCTAAGCCTAAAACAAAACTGGTACACAGTACTCAAATGACTAATTATGATTAGGGAAACACTGAAGAAACCCCTATAACAGAGAAAAATTAACCACCTTGATTCTATGTACAACACAAACAAAACCCTCAGTAAGACCAGTTTAAACCTCCTCCTTACCCAACATTCTTAAAAGAACCAAATAAAATGCAAAACTAAGCCGCCTACTGTGCCAAGAGTGGGCCTGCCTGGCTGCTCTCTCAGAAGGGCCTGCTGACGAGGCTGGCCCTCAGCTGGTGTCCAGGATCTGATGGACAGACAAGATGTGGCCTGAAGCACCTACTCTTTGCTCATGAGATGGTTTACCCTGAGCACCTGCGTCCCTGGGAGGACTCCATGTGCTGGGCAGGGCATGCGGGATCCCCAACAAAACCACTGCATCTGATGACCTCTCCTGCTTGGCAACCTCACTGTGTGGCCCACACCCACTGGGGGAAATGCGGGCACCCAGTGTGCACTGGGAGGGACCTGGGAAGCTCACGCCTGTCTCCCCAGTCTTCTCCCAGGTGCCTGAATCCCTTCCTTAGAGTGAGTCGCAGCCCTGAGTATGCCAGTGAATCACTGAACCTGGGCTGATCCCGGGGACCCTGATCAGAGCAAAACAAAATCAATGTGACCCCTGCTCCTGCCCTCCCTCAGGACAGTCCTGGAGAACTGTGCATGTCGACCTGACCGCCAACCGCACACATACCTCCTATCTCGCTCCATCCGGTTGTGCCTCTCGCGACGCTGAGACCTTCCTCCCTGGGGCCCACTCTGGGCCTGCTCCCCCAGGTTAGACTGCGAGGACTCCGAGGACTGCCAGGCACCCTGTGCAGCGGTGGAGCCTTCACCCACATTCTGAATCTCTCCAAGGGCCCGCCGTTCTACACTTGTGTCCAACTGACGAATTCTACTCCGATTCCTCTTATTTATTGCTTGTTTACATAGCGCTTCTTCTTTGCAAAAGAAGGAAAAAGTGGTATTTTAATTTTTTATTCTTCTTAACTTGTACCTGTTAAGCTGAATATATTTTTTGGCATTTTCAAACCAAGATATAAACACTATTGCATATGCAGCAATCTGAGCCATAAGAAGCTGAGGCAGCAGAGACTCCACATACACTGGCACTGAGCTCCAAGCCTACACTGCATGCAAAACTGAAGCATGAGTCTACCATGGAATCCAATACTGCTCCAAGTGTTAACATGACCAAAGCAGCCTTGTCAAACCTTTTCTTTTTTTGCAGTACTGGACACTGAACCCAGGGACACACTATTCCTGAGCCACATCCCCAGCCCTTTTTATTTTGAGGCACAGTCTCACTAAGTTGTTGAGGCTGGCCTCAAACTTGTAATCCTCCTGCATCAATCACGTGAATCACAAATGACATGCATGTGCCACCCAGCCCAGTAAAAATTCCCCTAATCAAGTTTTGCTACCTATGAATAGCAAAATCAAGATGCTATTCCCTTTTTCTGAAATCAGAATAGAAAAGAAAGCTAGAAATATTTTCTACAAAAAAGGTTTTCTTTACATATAATTATTCTGATAACTGGTATTTTAACTGCAGTACTCAGAGGAGAAGAAAGGTGGGTTAGGTGGGTTAACATTAAACACGTCCTCACCCTGCAGTGACTCTTCACACAAAAGGCACAGTAAATGGTATCACAGCCTTCATGTTACATGCTGCGGCATGTGCTGCACAAAGATGTCAGGGTCCCATCAAACCAAGTACAGGAATCCACTTAGCAGGGGTGGTGACCTATAGTCCCATACACTACACAAAGCCAAGTGAAGGATCTGTCACACAAATTTCCTGATGGTGGAACATTTTAAGGGGGATATTCCAAAGCTTTGGTGGCAACTCCTTCCTTAACCTAGCCATCAGCACAGGACCATTCCAATGTTTATCTTTACTCCTTACAAATGTCAGTATGCGCTGTTGCATAAAATGTCCTGACACAGAAAAGGACAGGGAGAAAGCAGCAGCACTCTTCCCCATCCTGCCTGCTTAGTCATAAAAACGTAGCAGAGCAGTACTAGCCTCCTGAGTCACATGAGAAATAATTCTCTTCGCAGAGGAAGGCATTTAAGGATGCCAACTATGCCTTCTGCAATGTACTCCTTTCCCAGTCTTTCTGACCCTTATGGCATCTGGCTCCTAGCCAATCCCTGCCCACCTATAGTGTCCTCCTATTACACACCTCAAAGGTTTCAGAAGATTTCAGACTCCTGCTCACAGTGTATGAAACAAAAATAATCTATAAAATGCTTTCAGTAATGAAGATAATCAATAAGTCTGTCATTTTACTGTTAAGAAAGTCCTCAGAGTTCTCCACACTAAGGTCAATCACAATGTTTGAAACTCAGAACAACATTCAAAGTGAGAAGATGGGGGGGCCCCACAGATTGTCCCCAGGGCATGCAATCAGCTCCCTCCCTCCCCACAGCTGGAAGAGCCTACTGCTTTATCACTTACCTCCCACTTTAATCCAAACCTGCTCAGGCAAAGCTTTATTTCTGCTACCTAAAGTCTGTTTTGTGGACTCAATCTCCTGTTGGTAACAGAAGGAAAATGCTCGGGGTAGTCCAATGTCCTGGTGCTTGGCAGCTTCCAATATAGAACACGAGTTGCTAGAACTCTGAAAAAATGAAACAACAGGAATCTTAGGAACATGGGACTTAACCTGCCCTTCACTGCACATGCAAAACAAACATAGCAGAGCACCCTCAAGTCACGGGCATGCCACTTGAATCTGTTTCACTGAGGATTTTCACACAGCCCCAAACCACATAAACGTTCTCCATTTTAAAAAGTTATTAAGTTCTATGAAAGGCAAAACAGTTCTTGGAACTTAAATCTGCCTGTTTAATACAAGAGGGCTGGTCATCTTCCCACCTGCGTCTGTGAAAGGCTGGGATTTCCACCAGTGGAGCAGGCACTTGTGAACAGTGGATAGGTGAACTGCAAAGCAGTAGTTGCTGCAGCGGTTTTATTTTTCACTAATGTTGTACATTTGTTTTGTTGCTGATGAAGAGGAACATTCATTAATTCAGATGGATGTCGAATAAGAGTTACCAAACTGCCAAGACAAAAGAAAGGCCAGAAACCTGAGAATAAATGGCAGAAAGACTCCAGAAATATGAAGTTCACCCACTCGCCCACTAATGGGTCACATTTACTCTGGTTGGGAGCGGGATCCCTGCTCTGCAGCACCCTCACACAACCACCAACCAGTGCTAGCTCCTCCTGGAAGGAGTGACTGTGCCCGACATCAATCTGTCAGCCAAAGATGGGCTAGAGGGGCCCAACCACAGCCTTGGAACAAAGGAAAACAGAACTGTCACTCTTTTCCACAGCCACCCCTAAAGGTGGGTCACCAAGTGGGCAGCACGATGCTGTGGCTCTGTCTTGCTGCTACAAGCTCTGAATGGCTCTGCACATGCCCTATCGGAATCAGCTCTCTGGAAGGCAGAAAGGCTTTTCTAGGAAGAAAGCCCAAGGCCACCTGTGTCCTAGTCCCAACTCTTCCAGATGCCACCTGGAACTGTGACCTCAGCGCCTGCACAGAGAGGGCCTTTCAAGTCACCCCACACTTGGGTCTGCCTGCTCTTTGCTGGAGACAGTGTCAGAGCAAGATGATGGCTTTTATACGGGGACACCAAGACTTGGTGGTTTCCCCTCTCCCCTCCACCCAGGGCCAACTGTAGTCCCATTGACACACACTCCTCTCTACCCAAACCCTGCGTGTGGCCAGGCTGACCCCTGGTGCGTGTGTGGCAGGGGCTGAGCCCTCTCCTTCACCCAGACAGTAGGTGAGCTGGGGATCCCTTCCGGCACCCCGCAGGTGGCGGGACTGCGCCCGCGCCTCTCCACCCAGCCCCACAGGCGGCGAGGCGGACCCCCACCCCGTCTCCACCCAGTCCCCGCAGGCGGCCCGACACCCTGCACGCACTTGTTGAGCGC